GATGTAAATATTTGACATCCAAAAAAGTATATTTCGGTACAATTTTGATTGAAAATATCTAACAACCATGTTGAAATCCAATTATAAACATACTTGACTCTATGTCAACAGGTTGGCTGTTCTTTCGACATTTTAAGCGATGAGCTTAATAATGCATTGTTTACTTTTATATCTATGAATTTACTTAATTTACTTAATTTCGGTAGACTTATACTTGATATAGTGGAGAAAAAATAAAATTAATCATCAACTCCCAGCATTGAATTATAATTAACATGGTTAGTTTCTTGCATAGGATAGACCAAAATACCATATGCATGCTATTCAAGAATGATAGATGATATGCTTAAAGTAGGCAAATTTTCAATTACCCATTTTAATGGCCAAACAAAGTCGCCCTTTCCACCAAAGTTCAGATAAGGACCTCGGACACAATTGATTAATGCCTCAGAAGGATTTAAAACGGGTTTTAGAATTCTTGACAATACCAAAGCTGTATATATATATGTATATATATATATATATATATATATTATAATATATATATATATATATATATTTATATATTATAATAATTTAGCATACGTAAATTCTAGTTCTTTCAAAGTAAATACCCGTCCCCCACCCGCCAACCACCCAAACCCACTTTCAAGTACTAAGCCACCTTCTTCTCAAACTCAAACATGATTTATACTTTTACTTCCTGCCTTTCAAATACAGAGCTATCTTAGATTTTATCGAAATATTATCATGAAAATAAAGTTTAAAGTAAGCGTGTATAATAGCAAATACAAGCTAAATAAAATCGATTGCAGTATATTAAATAATTCGCTAAAACTGAAAAAAAATATAAGTGTCGTCTGCTATCACTTCCACAGAAAAGTAAAAGAATGTAAAGACATTTAAAAAAAGTACAGTGGAATATTTCAAATTTCAATAAATTAAAATCTTGCCATTGTTATCACTGGTGTTAAATAATTCAAATGAATGAAGAAAAAAGAAACGGAAAACAATTTAAATTGTCCCATCACTAGTGAATTTGCAAGGACTATTGAAACAAACATATCATATCTATAAATAGAAATTGATTATTTTTTGACAGTGCCAACCAAGGAAGAACCCATTATTTAAGGTAAGAGGGTGCGCAGGCACAATGCTACATTTCTCATTGAAAGGGCCCGTTTTTTATACCACACAAGATCGGCTTCATGCACACACACGCGCGCATGCACGCACGCACATCCACACAAAACTGTCTTATGTTGTAAATGTTGAGAATGTCACTTCAGGAACCCAAACATATCCAGAAAACAGAACCGTGGTGGCGCCGGGCCGCGAGGGACGGGAGGTTGAAGCATTCACAAGCTGTAGCATTTTTGACACGTGTAGACGTTTGCATTATGCCGTTTCATGTTAGTTTACAGTGCCTATGCATTATTGCATTATTTATAAACTGCATTTCATTTTAATCATTTCTATACAAAGGGGAAAATGCAGAGCTAAGAACTGAAGCATTTTACATGTACTTTAATTATATAATATTTTATTATTATTATTATTATAATTATTATGATTATTATTTTTATCATAACCATTATTATTAATATTATTTTAATTATTAATATCATCATTTTATTATTTTTGTTAATATTATTATTATTATTTTTATAATATTAATAATAATAATAATAATAATAATAATAATAATAATAATTATATTAATAATAATAATAATAATAAAAATAATAATAATAATTATCATCATTATTAGTATCATTTTTATTATTATCATTATTATTATAATTATTAAAATTATTATTATTATTATTATTATTATTATTATTATTATTTATTTCTAAGCATTATTATTATTATTATTATTGTTAATATTATTATTATTTTTTTATAATAATAATACATAATAATAATAATAATAATAATAATAATAATGCTTAGAAATAAATATTAATAATAATAAATAAATATTAATAATAATAATAATAATAATAATAATAATTATTATTATTATTATTATTATTATTATTATTATTTTTATTATTATTATCAATAAGTGTGGTCAGACGAATCATTATTAGTATCATTATCGATATTATTATTATTATTATTATTATTATTATTATTATTAATTTTGGTCAGACAATAATATTTTGAGGCCACAAAATAATAAGTTGTGGCCAGAACATAATATCTCGAGGCTACAAGATAAAAAAAGTAAAGCAGATACCACCTCATAATCCAAATCCTCATACAATTCTTAATTTATTTTAGATTTTTGTTGCAACTGAATTATTCTACTCGTTTAGAAATAATAGCGAGACATTTTTACTTCATATAATTTATTTATGTACATCACTATATAATATATTGATAGTTATACAGAAAAGTGAGTAATATCATTACATGAACAGTGTTCGTGACGGACCGCCGTTTCTGAACACACTAATTTCGGTCTTAACTCATAAATAAATAGACATGCTCATATTCATAAATATAACTAAATTTAAACCTTTTTGCTGTTTCAGCACAATTTACAACATCATCTGCGAAAATAATGAATACAATAACATTATCATGAATTACATTTGTCGTGTTTGCAAAATGCGATATAACTCATAAATATATTAAATTAATTTCATACAAATTAAGTCTCCTGTCTTGTGTTATTGTTACACTGAAACAGGTTATCGACGGCTTGCAAATAATTCCCTCTCGCCTTATTTTAAAGCTAGTCGGGCTATTGTATCTAACTTGCTGAGAGAGTCTAAAGAAACAGTCATATCAAAATTGCAGACAGATACCATAAATACCGTGACACAGTTATATCACACCTGCACCCACAAGATATAGATACCTTTAAATCCAACTCATAGACATAAACTATAGCTAACGTTATATCAAACCTGCCACCACAAACTATAAATACCGCTGTATCCAACTTACAGACATAAACTATAACTAACGTTATATCAAACCTGCCACCTCAAACTATAAATACCGCTGTATCCAACTTGCAGATATATACTATAACTACAGTTATATCAAACCTGCCAACTCAAGATATAAATACCGTTGTATATAACTTGCAGACATAAACTACAACTACATTTATATCAACCCTGCTACCACAAGCTATATATACCGTTACATCCAAATTCCATGCATGAAATATAACTACAGTTATATCAAACCTGTGGTGGCAGGTCTGATATAACTGTAGTTATAGTTCATGCATGGAAGTTGTATGCAACAGTTTTTATAGGTACCGTTAAATCCAACTTGCAGATATAAACTATAACTCACGTTAAATCAAACCTGCCACCACACACTTTAAATACAACTGTATCCAACTTGCAGACATAAACTATAAATGTAAATAAATGTTATATCAAACCTGCCACCATAAGCTATAGATACCGTAAAATACAACTTGCAGATATAAACTATAACTAACGTTATATCAAACCTGCCACCACAAGATATAGATATTGTTGTATCCAACTTGCAGACATAAACTTAAACTACAGTTATATCAAACCTGCCACCACAAGCTATAAGACATGTCCAATGCACGTATTATTAGTTCACATCTTTGTTGTAACCACTTTTTAACAAGTTTGTGTAACTGAAATCTACCCATATTTTCATTTAAGATCATCCTTAGATTGTCAAAATTAAAATACCTGAATAAGCAAGGCCATAACTATCGAATATTTTAATAATTCATTATATCAACAGAATAAAAGTATGCTTACCATTAGTCTTTTAGTCTTCAATAGTTTTTATAAATTTATTGTCTGCTTTCAAAAGCACCAAATCAACGACTTCTGCCTTAATCAAGATTAAAACATATGTTTGTATCAACAAAATAGATAAAAGGATGCTTACCTTGCATATTTGAAGACGTGGGTTGTAATGGCAGTCGTTCTTCTATTTCATCTATTTTAGTTTTAACAATATTTAAGTCTTCAGTTGTCTTTTTATGACCAGCTTTTAGAAGCTCTATGTCAGCTTCTACTGCTTTATCGTTTTTTTCCCATTTTTCAATTTCATCTGTTACCCTCTGTTCTGTTTGTGGATCAAGAGGGCTGTATTCAAAGTCAGTAATCGTCTGTTTCAAGTTTTTGATGGGATACACCTTATCAATTCTAAGAAGAATCTGCAAAGGGCACAGGTGTAGTAATTATGTTAATTATTGTTTGCTTACGTTCGTCAAGAAGGAAATATATGATCAATATTTTCACCACAAGCATAGTACAATATACCGGCATTTGTTATTTGGAGTTCTGGCTTGGGTGACATAGGAAGAATAAGGATATTAATTTATGATGTGAATAAATTTCCTACTTTTTCCTTTTGTTTGTTACACTGATTGTGACAAAAGTATTCTAACACTGAAAAATGCTTAAGGTGAACAAATAACCTGATATATTAAATACCAGATACTCAATATGTGAGTAAATTAATTTGATGAATTTATCATATCGTCATTAAACATTGGATATACATATCTTATTAAATCAAACATACTAACTTTACAGTGTTTGGCTGATACGTATTTAATTTAGTGACAAGTGTTTCCTTCTATCTAAAGATAACTATGCTTAAATCTGATATGAGAAAAAAGTGATAATTGGTACACAGCCCCTTTGTAAATGAATAGTGTATTCCGTTTGTTATTCAAATTAGACATATTAAGTCAGAATTTAAAAGATTTTGATAAATTTCTGTAATTAAAATATTTTACTCAAGGGTGAGCATAATATATCTTTAATTTGGCAAAACAATTCACTTGCAGATGTGTGCGAAAAGACCTGTAAAATGTCATTTTGATACAAATCATTTAACCTTGGTAGATTTCACAGTAAAGCAGACTGACTTGAATCTATATTGGTGGCAAAAACTTTTATTGTTTAGTTAAAGAAATATGCACATAAGAACAAGTCTTACATTTATTTTTAAGATAAAATATATACCTGTTCGATTTCTTTCCACTTGGTAGTAAAATCGTTACATTGTATCCCTGTAGTGGTCGATATATGAGAAATCTGAAGATATAAAATCGTTATTGCTAAATACGTGTGTTTTACAGATAAAAATCAATTGATTTTTATCTCTATCAATACGTTTTCAATTTTACAATCTCTTTTAAAATACTGGAATAATGAATCAAATCGTCTTGAGAGAATAACTAGTATTAGAACCTTTTGAGTATTTCCCCGGTTAAACGTTCGAGTGTGATTTATATCTGAACAAATATCAAGACATATTCAGCAAACTTGTATGCTACTTTGGTTCATTTATCATTAAAATAAAACATAAGTCTATTGAAAATCTTACTTCGTTCCTGTAATTCTTTAGTCTACAAATGTCTGCTTCGATAGAAGTATCACTTTGTACAGGTGTAATGTTCCAATTAAACTTTTTATTTAACTTGAAACATTTTAGGCTTCTCATGAGACAAATGATAAGCGTGATATCCAAATCTGACGTTGAAACAGTGCCACGTGATGGATACAATAAATCATATTGCACCTGTGTTATTATTCCACGTGCCTTTAAAAGTTTGATTGTTGTCTTTTCGATTGTAAGACATCCACTGAGAGTAATAGATTGAGATGAAAGTTCCTGATCTACATAATTTCTTAACACTGCTAGTCCACCATCAATAATTAACATTTGTAGACGGAATAGGAAGATACGATTGTCTGATGCATGCGCCGAAGATGATGTACCGGATAGAGCAGCAGCCATGACTAGACATTACGTTTCACAACAGTTTGTTATTATGATGTCAGACCTGTAAAATTCAATGTACAATTTAGGTAGAAATTATGTATGATTGATATCAAACAAATATGAATTTATGAAGAATTATTTTGAAATCTATACAAATCAATAAAATAACGTTATTTAAAATAACTATTTTCACAATATCAGTTAACATTTCATTAAAATTTAAGTTCATTATGTGCCTCACCCGAAACAAAACATTAGTTTAGGTTATAATTTGTTCATCGCCAAAAGCACGCGTCAATTACCTAGATTAATGAGCTGTTTTTCCGTTACGTCTGCGAAATTTAAATGATAAACATATCCTATGTTCCGGGCGCATATTCGGCAATCAAAATGGTACATAACTTTCCATTGTAGCTTTTTTCTTTTCCCGTTTCGCTTGCAGGATTTTTTCTATGCGGTAATATATTTATGAAAATATACGGTAGCACTGAAATACATTTGTTTTTGCAAGCATATTTGGATAAGAACACGAACCAAAATAAAAAGTTTTCTACCAAATGAATCGAAAAAAAATGGATGATATATACTGATTATTAAAATATTGAAAGATACAAGGTAACAATCTCAAATACATTTTAAGTCATTGGCGCGGTCATAACTGGTGTTTAAATATAAGAGTAAACATATGTCACGTGACAAATAACCCTGAGATATAAAGCTTTATAAACATTAAGCTACACGCTTGGTTTAACCTATTCATTGGCATCAAATACGAATTTGGCTAAATTAAAATCGATTCTGAATGTATTACATTTGCTAACTAATGGTAACATTCAATATTTATATTTTATAGGGGTATCCAATTTCTGTATTAAATTCATGTTTTATAAGTAAGTGCAAAGTGATTTTCTGTTTCAATACCTCCTAACAAATTCCTGCTAATTTTACCGTACCCTTTATATATTTAGCATATGGCTAAGTCAACCATCTCAATTAATGTTAAACCAAGATCTCCGATCGTACAGTACTTCACGATGCACTTAATAATGTTACCTTGAAGCAACTGTTATATAGTCACATTAAGCAGAAAATAAATAAATAAATAAATAAGTATAGTTAACGTTTCGTTTGGTATGACAAGGATTCGATCAACTTAATGAAACAACATCAAAAAAAATACGAAGGAAAACTTTTTTTTATTCGAAACTCACATACATCTTCAAACTGGATTTAAACATGTTACTCACATTTTTCTGTTAATTATACAAGACAGGGCCTTTTTATTTATTTGTATTATTAGTACAAAACACAATTGGACTTTATAATCAGAATGTTTTACTCATTTGATTTATTCTACTTTTACATTTGCTTATTGCTAATGTGCAGGGATGAAGTGTTTTTGTTTATTTTCTGATTCAATCATATCTTATCGCTAATAATTGAAATAATGCAACGGGAATTAACAAAATGAATAGATAAAAATATTTAATATCAATTCGTATATTTCTTCCATTGAACTATTTGTTACATTAAACATTTAAACAACGGCATGTCCTTTTATGTACTAGTAACTGAACCGATAATGATAAGTGTTCAAGTTTAAATAAAAGACGTTCTTAATTCCATTGTAATTTTTTTCTGATTATGATTTCAATGCATGAAGTGTTCCTTATGTTCTTATTGTTCAAATATTCAACAAACACAAAAATGCTTGAATAGCTATGCGATAATACATTTAAACTTAAGATCACCCCGATAGATAAAAACGTGTCTACCGTATTGGTTTGCACTATTGTATATCAATTATAACATACCTTTTATTTTCAAACAGATAGAATATAGTGTTGTATTAAGAGGCATTGACCTATTGTTAAATGGATGGAAGATCGCTTAAATATGATCTGATCTGATTTAAGTCTTGTGGAATGTTTCCATTTTCATCAGAAACAAGCGAAAATAAAAAAGAAAATACAAAAAAGTCAACAATGTTTTCGCAATTCCGTATTCAACAAGTATTAAATTAGGTAAAATACAACACATACAATGTTTTAAAACTAGTGCACCATAAATTCAAATTGTACGTTTCTGACAAAAGAAGGTTATGGTTTTGGGGCAAAGCAGTCAGACTTTCATAGTTGCTGCATGCAGTTAAGGCCATAATCCAATTCCATTTAAATAAAATAAATGTTAAGGTTATCTTAATTCAATTTGAAGCGTTCCTATTTAATTATAATAGTGACTGAAAACTAGTTACGCATGTAGCTCGTTAATAAGCAAGTTGTGTTACAGTACCAGACAGTTTGTTAATGAGAACTTACGTCATACCACACACACGTTCTAAACCGATTAGAAATGTTTAAAGGAATCGGTCTTTCCGAACAAACAAGTTGTCTCTGCTGACCTTTTCTTCAAATGCATGTTTGTCTTCACGATATGCCAAACACATGATATATCTAACATGAAATATTCATGAATCTCAATAGCCCTTCTCAGTTAGTGACTGCAGTGAAATACCTTTAAAGCAGGAAACCCAAGTATATTAATATATATATAAAAGGTGAGGACATAGTTTAAATGAATCTGTAAATGTAAGTATACTTCCTTAAGTGTAACATCAATCTCAACCCCTCCATCGGTTTAAGCATAATCCAACACGAATGCTATTAAAATTAATTAGTCGGAATGACAAGAAGTGCACACTTGTCTTTGCATTGAATATGTCTGTCATACGGTAGTACGCCGTAATGGCTGAGATATTTGATTTGATGATAGAACTGTGCTTTTTGACTTCTGTTGAAAGTTAATTTTAGTATTGACAAATATTTTGACATTTGTCATAATTGTTCAAACGTTTTCTTGTTTAAACGTAAGGAAACCAATGAATAAAGATATACTTGTTAGATAAGAGATTTGTGAACAGAAAGATGATTTCGCTATCCTTGCATGTGGCACTCGGATGAAAAAGAATCTCAATTTCTGTCTTTAATCAAAATGGCAACAAATACGCGTACCGAATAGGCAAAACGGATTGGGCGGTGGTGTCTCTCTTACGTGTTGAAGTGACGTAAATACGCGTAGAAAACAATCAGGTTCAAAACCAAGCTTTGGATTTGGCGTTTGGCAATTAGTTAAAAGTACGAGGGATGTCCGGAAAGTTCATATACTTCTTCATTTTTTACTCTAATACAATACATACGTTGTACAAATTTTGTCAGCAAAAATAAACATATCTTGAAAACACATTTACAAAAAATTACTGAACTGTAATTAACGTTTGTTTTTTAACACTATTTTCATACAACATATATACACCGTCATGGAGCACTTTGACAACGTCAATAGCGTCAAATTAACTTCACGTTTACAGATTATTCAATTTCTTCCGTTTTCAATAGCCATGGTACCAATCTGGCGTACACTTCATACATGTTTTGTTCCTTTGCAATTACTTTATGCATCTCATATACTACAATTTATTTAAAAACAAAGATGTCACTGGTTCCCATACTGTGTGTGAGATTTCTGTCTTTTACAAAGAATTTTATAATGCCATCTACGATATTTCTGGCATGCTACGTTTGGTCGTCTGGAGCGGTTCTTATACCATAATTATGCTGTCATCACCGCTTCTTAATCTTGTTTGACATCTAAAAACAAATTGCCTTGAACAATTTATGGCTGAATGTGTTTTTAAAATAATGAGTAAAATCTCAGTTGGTACCATATTAGAGTTGCTACGAAGTTAAATAACATGTTGCTCCTTCCTTAAATTTGACGTCATTTTTGCAATAAATAATTTACGCACCTTTATTGCCATCTGCCCAAAACAAGTTGTTTTTTTTGCGTATGATGTATAATTTCACTATAATCATCCAATGTATCTTTGTTTTCATAAAAAAAAAACGAGTGTTTTGGCTTTTAATTACATTTTTAAGAAAACTTTTATTTAAAGTAGTATCGTCTAAAATAAAAATTTGCTCCTGATTCGTTGTCATGTTCCCATGGTATTGGACTTTAAGAGTGTTTCTTTTATCTTTTTTAATTTAGAAATATTGCAGAAAATAGTTTTAGAAAAAATATTAAAATCTTCTTTTGTATGACTGTTTAGATTTAAAGCCTTGTCTACGAGCTTTCCGGACAGCCCTCGTATAACCATAAATTGTGTCGGTATACGAGGTATGATCAAACAGTTCTCGGTCCGATATACTTCTAGCCACTACAGTCACATTTACACACGATATGTCGATACCAATATCTTATTGAAGATTACTGACCTAGTTACACGCGGTTTTACACATATTAAGTTACATTAAACACACTTTGATCAGTAGAGGAGTGTGTCATCTAGACCAAATGGAGAAATTTGAAATCAGAGCCGTCATTAAATACCTCTGTAAGAAAAGAATGTCCCCCTAGGAAATTCATGAAGACTTCATGGATACACTTAGGAAGGTGTCCCCTTCCTATAGCACTTTAAAAAAGATGGGCTGCTGTAATTGAAAAAGGCAAGAAGAGCATTAGAGATGATGAGCGGCCTTGGCGGCCAAATGAGGCCACCGACGATGAAATTGCCGAAGCTATGCACGATATGGTCATGTGCAACAGAAGGCGAGACCTGCGAAGCATTGTAAGAGAAGTGGGTTTAAGCTTTGGTTATTTCAGGCAATTCTGACTGATATATATGGCATGTCAAAGGTTTCCGCTAGATTGGTGTCCAGACAGTTGTCTGACGACCAGAAAAGGACAAAGCTTGGCATTTCAAGATATATTTGGATGAACCTGATTGACTGCAGCTTTGAAATTCTTCACCATCCCCATATTCTCCGGACTTACACACCTCCTCTATTGTTTGTGACAGGTCTATATTTTTCGGATAGTCCGTTATGAGGTCTATCTTTTGCACGTGCACAGGTCTGTCCTAGTTAGACAGACCCGGTCATGAAAAACACGTGAAAAATAGACCTGCCTATGCGCAGACAAAGAAAACATGAAACGCAAAAAAAAAAAATAATTCAAATGTAAATGATTGTCATTATGTTCCTGTCTTACAAATTCGGGATA